CGGGGCCCGGCGCCGGGCGGGCCGCACCCGCAGGTGGAGGCTTATACACCAGGTGGAAGATGAAGGCGTTGCAGTACCTGCAGCGGCGCGTGGGCGTGGTCAGGGCGGGGCTGCGTTTCCGGGGCGGGACTAGAAGAGGGCCCGGCCAACGAGAGGGCAGCGGGGGCCCGGGGGCGGGGAGAAGGGCGGGGCCAGGAGCTGGGGTGGATTTTGTAGGCTGGGTCTAATGAGGGGCGTCGAGTAGGGAGGCCAGGAAGGCAGGTGGCAGAGCCGAGGACAAGAGGACTTCAGGATGCGGGCGGAGGGACAGCAAAAGAAATTAGGGGTCAGGAAGTAAATGAGGGTCGCGGGCCCTTACCAGGGCATGCAGTTGTCGGCGGCTCGCAGGCGAAAGGGGGAGCGGAAGGGGTTGGGCCGTGCGGCGCTGGTGCCCCCTCCGGTGGCCACCGCCATAGTCTGGTCGTCCATCACGCAGCCATACTCGCTGCTCTCGGTGAAGAAGGCCGGCACTCGGAGCGACTGGGCGGGGATGGGCCCTCAGAGACTCCGGCACAAGTTCCTCCCCGCCGCGACCCCCGACCCCCACCCTCTACCCTCCGTGGACGGGTTGGAAAGGAGAGGCCAGGGGCAGCCTGGGGCGGGGGAGAGTCAAAGGCGGGCAGAGGCCCCACGTCTGAGGAGCAGTTGGTGGGGGCAGATGAGACTGAGAAGAGCAGTAGGGCGGGGCAAGCCCCCTTCTGCCTCCGTTCCCCACCTGTAACCGGGGCAGGGAGCTCAGCCAAGTGTCCTTGAGACCGAAGCCGGAGTTAAATCCTGCGAGACACAGAGCAAGGGGACGCTGGCTCCCTTGGCCTGCCTCTCGCCCACTGTCCCCACACCCGTGCTGCTGAGCCCTGGGGCTCTTACCGATAACCAGGTCGGGCTTGGGTCCCTGGAGCAGGTGGTAGGGCCTGGCGCATACCTTGATCTGAAGATCCCTGCGGCCCCCTTTCTCCTTAGTCCCAGAGCCGAGCCTTGCTGATGCCCCAGCACCGGGACGGACCGACAGCTCGGGGCCATCCTGAGGGACCGGGCGTGGGGTAGGGAAGCCGCTGCAAGTCAGGGCACTGGAGGACGCACAGGGTCGAGCCAGAGGAGGGCAGGGAGGGGCAGGCTCCCCTCAGAGGGCCCACGGCAGGGGTCAGGGCTGAGGAGCAGACCCCTCCTCAGTCCTCACCCTCTGCAGGGTGAAGTGCTGCTGGTCACTCTCGGGGGGCAGGCCGTCACCCACAAACTGCAGCTCCAGGGCCACATGGGGGAGCAGAACCAGCAGCTCCTGAAAGACAGAGAAAGGCCACATCTGGGTCCAACCCTGTGTCTGTCCTCCGCCCCCTAAAGCCCAGCCTTCGGGCCTGGAGAGATTTACCCAGAACACCATGACGAGGTCAAACTCCTTCCCGGCCTCCACCACGTGGATCTTCAGTGACTGTTTGTTCTGGATGTTGAGCTCAGGGACTGTGTGAGAAGCCAGCTCTGTAAGGTGTGGTCTCTCTCGCTGGCCCCTCTTGCCCCTGCACCCCTGGCTCCCTCCCTGCTCCTCCTTACAGGACTGGGGCACCAGGTGGGTGATGACATAGTATACAGTCAGCGGATAGGTGAGGAGCACGGCCATGGGGGAGTCGAGGCTGAGGCCCCGCCATGTGTAGTAATCCTGCCACGAGCCTGGGGAGAGGGGGTTACTGGGCACCTGGCCAAGGCCTGGCCCCCAACACCTCCAGGCGAACAGCCCTGCTGTTCTCAGCCACTCAGGCTTCTGGCCTCCCCATCCCTGGCCCCCTCAGGGCCCTTCCAGCTCACCAAAGAGGCTCCTGGGTGGGTCTGGGGGCACAGGAGGCATCAGGGCAGGCCCATCCCCCTGGAGGAGCTGGTAGGGGTCTCCTGAGAGGGTGAAAGGAAGAAGAGGCATCTGGGGCCAGAGAGAGACCCCCACCTGACCCATTGCCCCGCTTCTCCCCTCAAGAGCAGTGTTCTCCAAGATGGGGTGGAGCTGCACCAGGGGCCGGGGCTCCTGATCTGGAGGGAGGAGCCCTCTCAGGGTGGGGAGAGTGACCTGAAGTGACCCCGCCCTGTGCACAGGTTATCTGGAACCCACTCCTTCCCCCCAGGCAGAGGAGCCCCCTACGCACCACTGAGCAGAAGGCTGTGGGATGGTACACTGCCCCGGGGCTGCCTGGGGGTGCCGGGGCCTGGGAGCAGCATGCTGATCTGGGTCCAGTAGCCACGGGTGAGGCCTCGCGAGGCCAGGAAGGCCTCTTTGTTAAAGGTCTCACTGGTCACCTCTGGAGGAGGAGAGGGGAGAGGTTGAGGGCCTGGGGCCTCTCTCCCCAGGGTCTCAGCCTGGTTCTGGCCAGGGAAGAAACCAGTGTTTCTTGAGTGTCTGTAGCATAGGCTCTGGGCCCCCAGCATCCCATAGCAATCGCTGGATCTTTACCATTGCTCCTATCCCCTCTTACAGGTGCGCAAGCTGAGCCTTTAAGTGCCAGTTGGTGGTGGCACTGGGCAGCAGGCAGGCGTCTGAGTATCTGTTCTCTCAAACTCTTGGGGACCCAGAGCCTTCAGAGACCCCAGCCCCAGCCCAGGGATGTAGCCCCCAGCCCCAGATAACCCACCCAAGCCTTATGCCTGTGCCAGACTCCAGCTCCAGGCATTTTCCCCTCAACTCCAGGACTTTCCTTCTGGTCACCTCAACCCCAGTCCCAAAGACTCCACCCACTCGGCCCTCCCTTACGGCACCTGCAGTGTAGGTAAAGGGCAGTGTCGCCAGTTCCCCTGCCCGCTCCATGAAAGCCGCAAGCCTTGGGCACCAGAACCGGTGGCTCACATCATCCGGACATCGACGCCAGTCAGCCCGCAGACAGGCCTCTCCACAGTACAGGACGGCACTGCACTGGGGGCTGGGGACACGGAAGGAGGTGGGCCCCTCCTGTTAACATCCGCAGGTCCTGTCTGCTGTCCGTCTGCCCATACATCATTTAGCTTATTCGTCTTATACCCATGAACTGCCCGGAACAGCTGGGTGGTGTTTTTTTGTTTTTGCTTCCTGGATCCCCCATTGTCCTGGCCTGTTTTCTCTCTATTGGGATCTTCCTCTGATCCTGTCTATGTGGGCTGCTCACCAGGGGGTCAGCTTCACTTCAAAGCTGTGCCTGTGACAAACATGGCAGGTCCGAGCCCGAAGGGAGGCAAAGGTGAAACCGGGTCGGGGACCCCACGTCCTCATTGGGGTCTTGGCTAACTTCACCCCCAGCCTTGGAACCAGGCTCTCCAGCTCTCTGAATGGGAGTGAAGAGGGCATCAGTCTGGGGACGGTAGGGGGGCACTGGACTGTAGTCCAGGTCCCTGGCCTCCCCACCCTCAGATACCAGGTTTCTGTACCGATGCAGCTGGGCGTCTCCCACAGTAAGCTGTCGGGGTTTGCGGGGATCCCCAGAGCCCATGGGGCAGGCCATGCTGTGGCAAAGGAGAGCATAGGCCCGAGGAGCCAGGTTCTCAGTCCCTGAGCCCCGGCCTGCACTCCCTTGGGCGCCGTCCATCAGTAGATCAATGCCCAGAATGGTGCCATGCTCGTCAGTCACCAGTAAGAGGCAAGACAGGTGCAGGGGGGCGGCGTCTAGGGAGACAGGAAGAATTTGGATGAGGGATGGAGATGGACAAGGTCAGGGGTACCGAATGCAAATGCCTCCTGGGGCTAGGCAAGCAACCTCAGTGCACAAAAGTGGAGACAGCGTGCCCCCTGCAAGGGGCCAGCTGCTGCACTGTGCGGGCCTCTGCTGCCTTGCAGTGATGCGGGCAGGGGTGCTGTCAGAACTTTAGATTGTTCTGAAGGAAGCGTATATCCAGGCTTCTGGATCGTTTTCCCCTTGAAAGGGGAAGGTTGACTCAAGTTAGTAATCACATCACCCTGTGTGCCAATTGAAACAGCTTTTCCGGCCAGATTGGCCGCCAGTCTGCACCCCTTAGCTGGGTGCTGGCTTCAGAAGGGGAGTCCTGCTGGGCAGCACTGGGTTCTCACCGCTCCTGCGTCCCTTCCTCTTCTCGCGTCCAGCCGTGTCCTCCACCCTGTCCTCTCGGCAGCTGTCCTCGCCACCTCCTACCTCCTTCTTGGTCTCCTCTGGCTCCCCTGCAGGGTTTGCTTCCTGGGGGGACGCCCTGCTGGTAGGGGCTGGCTCCCTGCCCTCCTCTGCCCCCACCTTCTCTGCACCCGCCCGCTTCTCCTGTCCACTCTCTTCGTCCTCCTCATCCTCTTCCCCCTCCTCTAGGCTGACGAAGCTGACATAGGGGCTGAGGTCTCGCAGGTGGAGGGGGGGCTCGTCTCCCAGGAGTCGGGCAGCCTCCAGGCCTGGACCCGGGCCCGGCTCTGCCCCCTGCCCCAGGCTGATGCCCACACTACTGTTGGGCAAGACATGCAGCACCCAAAGGGCAGAGTCCTGGGGCAGCCTTCGGATCTGGGCCTCCAGCTGTCGCCAGCGGCCCTCGAGGCTGGCCCCCACAGCCCCACGCTCTGCCACAAACTTGCGGAACCAGCCGAAGAGGAGGGCGGTGAAATCCAGGAACTCATCCCGGTATCCAGACACAAACTCCATGTTGGCAGGAGCACGGGGGCTTGAGTGGGTCTAGCAGAGGAAGGGACCAGTGAATGATGGGTGCGATTGGGGCTGGGTCACAAAATGGGGTGGGGTCCTTTGTGGGGGCCCCTATAGATGAGTGCTGGGAGCTGAGCACCAGGTTCTCAGAGCTGAGGATGTAGTTCAGGGATGAGAATGGAAGGCCAGACTTGGGCATGGACGATTAGGGTTGAAGAGGAGGAGTCAGGGAGAGGCAGAAACTTTGGGCTCCAAACTCAAACCCCTGAGAAGCGGGGTTTGAACTGAGGGTAGAGAGAAGGGAAGAGGGCAGACCCTGCGGGGACTGGTATGAGAAGTGGCTAATTTTGGATTCATATGTCACAGGGAAGAGGGAAGCCGGGCTGGGGCATCCCCTGGGCTTGGCCATGAGCCCCAGCAGACCTAGCCCCTCCCGGCCGCTCCACTCCTCCGGTACCTGCAGCCGCCACCACTTTCGAAGGTAAATACCTCGGGGGAAGGGGGGAGGGTCGTGACGTCATGGCTGCCCGAGCCGCCGCGCGCTCCTCGGGTGCTAGCCGGCAGACGCCCAGGCCGGGCGAGGACGCAGCCCTGTGCGTTCCATGGACCACCTCAGCACGGCGGTGCGCGGGCTCCCGCCGAGTGCGCAGCCCGGCTGAGACGCGACAGCGTCGGGGAGGCGGAGGGAGGCTCCCATGGGTCACTCATTTCCAAGGTCCACGGTCTCGCCACGGCCCGCCTTCTACCACCTCCTGAGCTTTCTTTCGGTTTCTCCCAACATTCCTGTTCCCTTCCCCGAAGGAAGCTCTGGCCCGGGGGTGCGGGGGCGTGGAGACTCTGCCTCCCGGGGAATTCTCCCGGGCGGACGCCGCAGCGGCCCCTCTGGACCGGGTGCAGAGTCCGTGTGGGAGTGCGTGGGTGCTGGGCTCCGGGACCCGCGCCCTCCGCCGCCTCCGGCTCGGAGATAGCGGACGGGCACGGGGAGGAAGCGAAAGTCGCAGAGAAGCCAGCGGACGCCACAGTCCGGAGCGGACAGGGCAGTCTCACGCGGCGCCTCGAGATGTCCAGGCGTCAGGTACGCCTGCTGCTGCTGCTGGCAGCGCTTGCCCTCTCGGGTGAGTCGGGACGGGGCTGGGGGGGCCAGGTAAGGCGGCGGGGAGCAGATGCTGGGTCCGCGGAGTTACCTGGGCAGTCCCCAGGGCAGCCGAGTTTGCGGACGGAGCTGGGGGACTCTCGGGTCCCGCTGCGATTATGGGACGTTCTGAGGGTGCGACGTGTGGGTTGGGTCTGGGTGTCGGGCACCGGAGGTCAGTGCTTGGAGAGGAACAGCAAGGGGGGACAGCCTTGGCCTGGGAAGTTGTCCTGACCGCCTCTGTCCCGCTCAGTCAGTGCCAACGAGGGCAGCGTCACAGGGAGCTGTCACTGCGACCAAAGAATTTCTTCCAGCTCCCCGCCGAATCCAAAGTTAATGGAACACTTCCGAAAACATCTCAGGGCCTACCACCGCTGTACAGCCTACATCAGGTACCCGGCCCGTCCCCACCCCAGGCTCGGGGAGGGCAGTGCAGGTGCGGCCAGGTGCGGCCAGGTGCGGCCCGGCCGGCCGTCGGTGGTCGGCCTGAACGCGTCAGGCGGCCCCACAGCCCCCGCCCCGGGTTCGTTCGCGGCGGCTCTCTCCACTTCAGTCCCACCTGCCCGGGGACTTCCCGGGCGGCCTGCCTCGGCAGGAGCGAGCTTTCCTCGCGTGACCTCAGCCCTCTGGAATGAGGAAAGTGCTGCGGGAGGCACTGAGCGTCCCGGCTGAGCGCACCGACTTCTCCCTCCAGGTTCCGGCTGCACTCGCGGAGCGTGTGCGGAGGCAACCACGACCCGTGGGTGCACGAACTGCTGAGATGCTTCGACCGCGGAGGTGAGCACTTGCCCGGTCCTGCCCCGGGCGTCCCCGGCCCGGCTCGGCGGCCCCACCCCACCGTTCTCCTTGCTTCTGCCCTCCTGTCCTCCTGTCCTCTGGGGCATCACACGAACCTTGGGACGCTGGCCAGAGCACTCCACCAAACATCACTCACCACCACCTTCGGGCTTTTGCCAACTCATGACACCTCGGGGGCTATTAATGTTTTTAAAAATCAAAGCACTACTTTTGTTTTCCAATATTTTATTATTGGAAATTAATTTATATTCAAAATATAAAAGATCCATAAAAAAGATGGTTATAGAAAAGTTGAAAGAACTATGCAGTGAACATCCATATACTCATCAATTAGATTTTACAGCATGACTTATACTGCGCATATTTCCATAATAAATCAAATATATATGTTTACAATGTTGATTTTAAAGCATTTTACTGTTTTTTGCTTTTTTTTTTTTTAAAGAAAGACTGATTTATTTATTTGAGAGGCAGAGTTACAGACAGATAGAAAGGTCTTCCACCCGCTGGTTCACTCCCCAAATGGCCACAATGGCCAGGGCTGGGCCAGACCAAAGCCAGGAGCCAGAAGCTTCTTCTGAGTCTCCCACATGGGGGCAGGGGCCCAAGCACTTGGGCCATCTTCCACTGCTTTCCCAGGCCAAAGCAGAGAGCTGGATCAGAAGAGGAGCAGCCGGGACTTGAACTAGCACTCATGTGGGATGCTGGCTCTGCAGGCAGAGACTTAACCCACTATGCCACAGTGCTGGCCCTGTATTTGCTTCATTTCACATCCACCTATACATCATCCATACACCTTATTTTTAATTTTTACATTTTATTTTATTTATATGAAAATGGTAGAGAGAGAAAGAATGGGGGACAGATCTCCCATTTGCTGGCTTATTCCCCAAATGCCCACAACAGCCAGGGCTGGGTCTGGCTGAAGCCAGGAGCCAGGAATTCAACCCAGGTCTCCAAATACTTGATTCATCAGTACGCTGTGTCCCAGGGTGCACACTGGCAGGAGGCCAGAATCGGAAGCAGAGTCTGGACTCCAGCCCAGGCGCTTCAATACAGAAAGCAGGTGCCCCACGTGTCAGCCTCCCTGCTCCACCACTCATCTCCACCTATTTTTGGTGCGTTACAGAGTAAGTTGCAGGCATAATTGTATTTCATCCCAAAACATGTCAGCATGTGTATTATTAAATAGAGTTCAATATTTTATTACTCCTTTTTCTAAAAAAAAAAAAAGATTTATTCTTTATTTGAAAGGCAGAGTTAGAGAAAGGGAGAAACAGAGATTCTGCTGTCTCAGTCCCCAAATGGCTGCAAGGAGCCTGGAACTCCAGGCTAGTCTCCCATGTGGGTAGCAGGGGCCCAAGCACTCAGGGCATCTACTGCTGCTTTCCCAGGCACACTAGCAGGAAGTTGGATTGGAAGCAGAACAGCTAGGGCTTGAACCAGCACTTCGATATGGGATGCTGGGGTCACAAGTGGCAGCTTCACCTGCTGTGTCACAACACCAGCCCCAATACACAACTATTGATATAGAAAATGTTCTTCCATACCCTCCCTAAAGTTGTCTTGTGTAGCATTAATGATACCCATATTGGCCTTCTACATAGACCTATAGGACTACATAGACCTATGAACCATCCTAACCTCCCAGCTCAATGAAATGAGTCCCAGAGAGTTAGAGCCCAGGTCCTGATCACACAGCTACTCTGTAGCAGAGCCAGGGTTTCAAGCCAAGTCTACTGGCTACAGTGTCCCAGCGGCTACATCCTGTGGTTTGCTCCCTCCTTGTCGCCAGCCTTCCCCTCTGCTACTGCCTCCCTCTCCTGGTCTTCAGCCGTCCTCTTGCTGTGCTCTGGGACTCACTCCCCTTCCCTCTGCTGGGGTTTGGGACATGAAACCCCAAAAGCGGGGCACCTTGGCAACTGGGGGATGCACAGAAGGAAGGTCACGCTAACCTGGCAGCCGGTGGTAAAGGAATTCTCTCACCTGCCTCACCTGAAAGCAGGTCATAAATCCTGTCCCAGAGAGGTTGTGCCCTGTACTTGAGGTCAAGAATGTGGGCGGACAGGCCTCGCTGGGTGCCCCCTCCCCTCAGCTTAGATGATCTATTTGTCCAATCTCCACCAGACTGAAATATAAAAATATTTCCCCAAGTCTCCTTTCTGAAGGCTCTTGGGTTATAGAATCTCTGGCTAAATGCACTCACTGTGCTTCTGTCTCGTTAATCTGGTTTTCTGGAATGGGGTGTCTGCCATGACCCTTGGGATGGGTGAGGACAAGACCGTACTTTCCCTCTCCCACTCTCTGTTTCTCCACCTCTCCCCTCTCCAGAATGTGGACACGCTCACTGGAAGAGTCTGGCCCACCGGAAGCCGCTACCTTCCCGCAGCACTCAGATTCCCAAGTACACAGAGGAGGCATCCGCACACCTGCCCTCCACTGCCCAGACCCACCTGCCACCCACCCTGCCACCCGGAGCGCACGCCAACAAAACCACCACTGCCCCTCCGAGCCAGAGTCTGGAGGTTGGGCCTGAGGCTGGGCAGAACCAGAAGCAGCTAGAAGAAATTGTAGGACCTGCAGCCGGGATGTCAGCCATGGTGCCGGTGCTGACCCTTCTGGCCATCACCTTCCTCCTCACTGGAGTCCTCATGTATGTGCTGTGCAAGCGGAGAAGGGGGCGCTCCCCAAAGTACTCTTCAGGTAAACCGGACTTCTGAACCCTCCCCCTAGGGGACGATGAGACGCTGCTTGGCGGGGACCCAGCCCCCAGCGGCTCTTGGGTGGTAGCAAAAGTGAGCCACTCAGGTGGAGGGAGCAAAGCCACCCATGGGCTCCAGACCAGTGCTTCGCCTTGAACATGGAGAAGATGGTAGTGGGAGACAAAGCTGTAAAGGAAGGCAAAGCCATTCATTCAACTTGGAAATGTTCACTGCTTACCTATTGGGTACCAGGTCAGAGTTAAATTTTTTTTTTTTTTTTGGTAAGTTTATTTTGTCTGAAAGGTGGAGAGACGGAAAGAGATAGCGAGAACCTTCCATCTGCTGGCTCACTCCCTGAATGGTTGTAATGGCCAAGGCTGAAGCCAGGAGCCTGGAAGTCCATTTGGTCTCCCAAAGGGGTGGCAGGGTTAGCCAAGCCAAAACCAGGAGCCAGGAGCTTCATCCAGGTCTCCCACATGGGTGCAGGGGCCCAAGCACTTGAGTCATTTTCCACTGCTTTCCCTGGTACATTATCAGTAGCTGGATTGGAAGTAGAGCAGCCCTAGGTTTCAAAGTGGCATCCATATGGGATGCAAGCATTGCAGGTGGTGGCTTAACCTAATACTCCACAACACTAGCCCATCAAAAATAAGCCTTTAAAAAAAAGAGGGATCGGCACTGTGATGCAGTAGGTTAAAGCCCTGGTCTGCAGCGCTGGCATCCCATATGAGCACTGATTCAAGTCCTGGCTGTTTCACTTCCAATCCTGCTCTCTGTTATAGCCTGGGAAAGCAGTGGAAGATGGCCCAGGTCTTTGGGTTCCTGCACCAATGTGGGAGACCCGGAAGAAGCTCCTGGCTTCGGATCGGCGCAGCTCCAGCCACTGCAGCCATCTGGGGAGTGAACCAGCAGATGGAAGACCTCTCTCTTTCTCTGCCTCTCTGTT